TTCTTGTAGAGGGTGACGAGACCTACAATTTCCATGTAAAAATTTTTCGCTAGCATCGATAGTTAACGAGTAATTTGCAAAAAACTGTTTTTTCGTTTTTCATCAATAACTCGTTAAATATTAATGCTAGCAAAAACTTTTTATACAGAAATTGTAGATCTCGTCGTCCTCTACAAGAAAGGTCCTATGCAATTTTCCCGTATCTGCAAGGGTTTAGGAGTTATTGAAGAAAAACGAAATTTTTTGTCAAAAGTTCGCCATTTCGACGCTGGGATGGTCGGATTTTGTCAACATCAATAAAATGCAAAATAATCATACGTAACTCGTTAAATATCGTTAAAATAAAGGAATGAGTTATATATTTCCAAAAACAGTGTTGAGGAGACCGCGTACGAGTTTCAGACGGATAAATAAAAATAAGGTCTGATACAGCGATGAGAATGCCAAGACGCGGTTGGATCCATAGATTTTGTGGAAGAGAATTGTGTAACTTAGCGATATATCCCGTCGGTTCTTTCGGTTTGCTTGGCTCGTTACCATCTTTTCATTCTCCCAGTATTCGGAACGAGTGAGGCGGATTTTAGAAGAACGAAGCCTTGTTCTCTCCTGTTAATTACAATCTCCTTCAGGAGCCACCGAATATTTTTATCAGAAATGCGCAGAAACTTGTCAAACTTTCGGGTTACCTCGCATTTCATTCTATAATTATACACAATAGCGAACGGGCATACGTATAGACGGGCGTAATTCTAATTACGGAATTAGCGCAGATAGAGGTCCAAATTTATTAACTATTCTGTTCTCAAGAGATCATAGAGCACGTGGTGCCTGTTTTAGATACAGGTCTAGACGCTTGCGGAGACATTGCAATCGCAATAAATTGTTATTTATAGATGGTAAGGAAATTTCTCGGATTTTCGCTGCCTCCGATTCCGTTTTAGCCGTAGTCAATAAAAGTAGGATGTCGATAATAAAATCCGAAAATACGAGTTCATTTCATCTTACGCGAGCGACGCATACGACTCGACGAATTTTAATAAAGTCTGTAGTACAGAATTTACTGCAAGGAAAAAACAATTTTGAGTGAACACCGGGGATTACGATATTCCTGGGGAATGTTAACACCAGAGGAACTCAACAAGGATCAAATACATATCTTAAATCTTTTTTTAAACCGACACAAATTAAAAATAAACCGTAGGATACACCTAATTAGAACTTAAGGTCTCTTAAATAAGGCTGATAATTGAAACCACTCTCGCCTGGACTCGTTTGTTCGCGACTTCTAAAGGTGTATCTCAACCTCCGGGCTTTAAACAGGAAACTACTGATGACATTTTACCTCTACTTCGTCATTTAGAACGAAACTGGATACACATTATAAAAAGAACTGCATGTAATTGACACAATGTACACACGACGCTAACAATTATAATTTATAATAAGACTGAAACGCGCTTCTAAATTGAATAGAAATGATTAAACTACATCCGTCCGATAACGAGTTATATCTCGAATATCGAGAATGAGCGGAAGCGATTATCGTTGTGTAATAAAAATAGAACCACCGTCTTGTCGATAACAACAATTTGACGTAATCACTCTAATCATTAACGAAGGTAATTAAAAATTGTCGCTTGGCTTCTTGATTAAGGAAATAAGTGAAAATACCAATACGTTGAGTATTTAAATTGAAACTCTTCACCGACTGACTGTTAACGTCAAATATATTACTTTTTTTATACACTAACGGTATGTTTTTCGTTATACTTGGCAAACACTTTGTTTAATCAGTATTAAGGAGACTTTAAATACATTTAAATAACTGAAATCAGACTCTAAGCTAGAGTCATATGACAAGATTAAAGAAAAATAAACTGTTAAAAGACATTGTAGAACAGAGTTTCCTTATTTGAAGAAGAATATAGATAAAGATACAGAAACGGTAAATAGCGAAGTAAATCAACTTACCAAACGCAGTTTTGACAGCGTTGACAGTGGATCAAACGCAGGCAGCGTGGTTTCCATTCGGCACGGCGAGAGGTGTCAGAAATGCTTCTTTCTTGACGTACCAAACACGCGCGACACTCGAATTTTGTTCGATGAATAAAAGCAGGTGGGCGAACTCGAAAGAAATTCACGTTCTCACGCATCCACGCATTCGTCACACACACCAACGCACAATCTCGATATAAGAGAAGTGTACATACAAATAATAAGTGTACGCAATAAACATACAGTACTGCGTACAAGCGTTACTTAAGATTAAATGAAACAGCGATAGGCGTTTAATGTTCGTTTGAGGGATGGGAAATAAAGGAAAGTAACCTGTATCTGCAATGTGACAATACTGCGGTCGAGCTATATACCTTGATGAGGGGTACATGGAGAACGAATGTTAGTACATGAAAACCCGGTTTCTTGACACAAACCCGGCGATCAAATCGGGAGGGATGATGAAACGGGGAGCGAGGTGTTTGTCCGTCTTACTGACCTATCCGTTGTACGTTAACCGGTTCTCGCGATTAAACTCAACAATTTCAAAATATTTCCGCGACACTAACTCGTGCAGATATCACGACGGCTGCCATATTGAATTCTCACTTTTGCGTGGCACGGAACAAATGTCCGAAGCAGGCTTCTTTACCGTGGAAATTTAAACGACGCTAGTGACACAGTTAGAGGCGTCGTGGTACTACGAACCGATTCTTGCTCGCAAATTTTTCAATTCTATCTCACTGTTTAATTGTTAAATATCTTTATAATTGCGAATATTTGAACGAAATGGAACTTGCATTTTTCTATTTGAATCCTCGATGATACAGTAATTCGATCTGGAGTTATGTTACTCGCGTATTTTTATCACGGTTCGCGCGTTTTTATCACAGTTCAAAGAAGATCATGGGGATTGAAAACGGTGACAATAATTTGATGGATATTGAAATTTGTCCGTCGACCAGTGGAAAGGACAACAGAAGCAAGGCAGATGATAGAAAATCGTTGCATTTACCATGGTAAATAAATGTATTTCAAAAAATATTTAATTCTTGGTCGGGAAAGTAAATATATCCCCTCGTGTGTATGTTTAACTTATAAATTCTATTGCAAATTCAAACTCATTTCTTGTATTACGTTTCCTTCTGCTTAAAATTTGAATCCGCTCACAAATTGTACGGAAAGATACTAATTGTTTAAGAATGAGAATTAAGGTTATAATAATGTATCAACATGTCTGAGTTTCATGTATCTAACTCACATGATTTTGGATAATAATGATTAAATTGTGTCTAATTTACATAGGATTGAAAAATACCGACCACAGGTGTTCTCAGACATTGTTGGAAATGAGGACACAGTGCAGAGACTCTCAGTTTTCGCTAAAAATGGGAACTGTCCTAATATCATCATTGCCGGACCACCAGGAGTTGGCAAAACAACAACCGTACTATGTTTGGCACGAATTTTGCTCGGTCCAGTTTTCAAAGATGCAGTATTAGAATTAAATGCCTCTAATGATCGAGGAATAGATGTTGTTAGGAACAAGATTAAAATGTTTGCCCAGAAAAAGGTAAGAATTCTACCTATACTTTGCATTATATCTTCAGGTTTCTTTTATTTTCATCATTAATAGGGGCTTTTCTTTAAATTCTAGGTAAATCTACCAAGTGGAAAGCATAAGATAATAATTTTAGATGAAGCTGATAGTATGACAGAAGGGGCTCAACAAGCGTTACGTAGGACAATGGAAATTTACAGCAATACCACAAGATTCGCATTGGCTTGTAACAATAGTGAGAAAATTATTGAGCCTATTCAATCACGTTGCGCGATGTCTTCCTATACCGACGACGGTTTAGAGGCCATAGTGTTCACTGCCCAGGGTGATATGAGGCAAGCAATGAACAATTTACAGTCCACACACAATGGCTTTGGCCATATAAACAGTGCAAACGTTTTCAAAGTATGCGATGAACCACACCCGTTATTAGTTAAGGAAATGCTCGAACATTGTATAGAAAGAAATATATGTAAAGCTTATAGGGTAAGCACAATTTATCAATTTCTTAAACTCTTGTGTAGGTCAAGCGTATAACACATTTTAATATACATACATAGGTAATGGAGTACCTGTGGAGTATGGGATATTCTGCAGAAGATCTGATTGGCAACATATTTCGAGTTTGCAAAAATTTACCTATTGAGGAGAAAATAAAATTAGATTTTATACGAGTAAGCTGCTACAATCTATATATTTTACTATATATTCTACGAGTTATTAATGTCAATCTTCTGCTTAGGAAATTGGTATCACTCATCTGGGAATAGTGGATGGGATCAGCAGCTTATTGCAAATGAACAGCCTTCTGGCACGACTTTGTTGCAGAGCTTCGGAATTGAACAAATCCTAATAATGTAATTAATTTGATTGAGAGAAAACAATTTATACATTTTACAAATGAATTATTCTTTTATTAAAAATTTGTATTTTTCTCAGGAAAGATATGATCGTGTGTGAGTGGACGAATGTATAACGTTAAAAAAGTCTATTTCGACTAGTAAAAGGAGATTAAAATACCTAGAAGTAAAAACTTACAATTAAGACTTATGAACGCGCGTGTATACTCGTATTTTGTACAAAACTCAGTTTGTGATCATGAATTTCAAAAACAAGAAGTTAAAAATGCGATCATTTCCGGACTCCTTATCCTGTAACAACGCGAAAATCGCGAGGAGTCATGGTTAATACAATTGAAACAATTACAATACACTGGATAACACCGTAACAGCAGCAGATCATACAGGCTTATGATTAGCACCATTTCTCCATCGAAACGGAAGTCAAATGCGGTCTAGCTTTCGCCGAGGGCCATCTCAGAGCGCTCTGACAAGATTCCGCCCTAGAAGGCGTCCTAGGGGGAGGCTGCGGTGGCTGGAGGTGTGATTCCTGAGTTTCCTCGCTTGGATCCGCTTGCTTCCTCACCGGTGGATCGCCCTTGTAGTTCCTTTTGGTCGGCTTCTTGGCCGCTACCTCGTGCAACGTGACTGATGGTGCACTTTCCACCGATTGAAGACTAGCAGCGCGATGCAGGGACAATCGAAGAGGTTTCTTGGGCGGTGCCGGGCGATACTTCGACTCCTGAGAGCTGTAAACCATCGACACGTCGGAATTCTCCGACGCATGGTCCTGAAATCACGAGCAGTCCTGATTCTAACAAGATATGATCGTCCACGTACCAGGTATGTCAATAAAATTATTGCTAAATACCTGTAACCGATAATAACTGGGCTCGGAATCGAAGTCCAACGGTTGAGAAGAGTTTCTCCGACTCTTGGACAAGTGTTCCATAGCGGACTCTACTCTAGGCGGTCTTCTGCGCGGCAGTTGCGATTGCATTGCCACTTGCTTGCAATCCAAGCTCGCAGTAGACCTAGTTAATTGATACCCTTGATGTTTCGGCTTATTTCGCGACCTTTGACCATTAGTGACAGTGTCCGATGAAAAATCGAGTTCGTTTGATTGTTTCGAGTGGTCACTGTGCCTGTTCCTCACTGTCGGAAGACTCTGACGAAGTTCTTTCGAGTTTCTCATATTCAAACCGGGGAGATTCGCGACGAGAGCGGTCACCTGCGGTCCCTTTTGAAAAACCTACGTGCGGTAATTACAAATAAAATACATCTTCTAACTTCTAATGTGTGTACAAATAAAATTTGAAATAATTCGACTACCTGAACTTGTTCTTGGCGAGTGGGCGAGGGTTCTACGGGTACCTCAGCCCTGCTCGGTGCTAGGAGGTCCCTGACCTGCTCCTCGAGATACCCGATCCTATGGGTTAATCGGAGATTGTCCGATCGAAGGGTGCGTACAGTGGCGAGTGAGTCTCCCTTGCGTAGTACCACTATTTGTGCAGCATCAGGTGCAACGGCCAGTAACCTGGCCAGGTCGCTTCTACCCGCTCCCACCACCAGTTTCCCGTTCACTTCCAAGATCCTGAAAACAATTGCATACCGATAAAATTCGCTGTGAGATGCGATCACGCTTAATTAGGCGAAATTTTTCGACGAGTGAGGAGGAAAATGGATAATGAATGAGAATGAGAATTGACGTGAAACGTGTGGAGTGAATGGTTACCAGACGATTAATGATAATCGTCAGGAAAAAACTGAACAGAACGTTTATAATGATCTTCTGAAGAGATACGGGAATATCTTTATGAGAATATAAAAGGAAAACTGAATTTCCGAATGAAATATAAACGGGACACCTTGTACATAAATAGAAAAGAGGGGGCGGAAAGAGTACACATGGGTTCATGCGAAGTCGCAGGTGCAATTAGCGGGGGCACACGGCGAACTTCCGGTGGGTATAGTGTCTACTTCACGCTACGGTAACCCGTTGGGAACCGAGTCCCATGATTGCGCTATTGTTCTACGTTGATAGCTAAAGTTACGCAGTGTTTTTCGAACTGTACATTGACGATTTTCTTTTGCATCTGCTTTCAACTTCTTGCCGATACAAGAAACTATCGCGACTTTCTTGAAACGATCGGAAAACATTAAATTATGAACAGTTTTTCCACGAAGAGGAAAAAAACGGTCCTTCTACCCGTTGCGTGATAATTGCAAAGCGATTATGCGCTCCGGGATCGTTGTCGGCATCCACGTCATGATATAAATGGGAAAAGAATCTCGTTCGCGTTTATGAACCGTTACAGAGCTACCGAAGCAGGAGCTACGCTCCTTGCAGTTGTTTTACTGCCTGCCAAATGACTGTAACTGTTAAATGAAGTGGAAAACTTACGAGAAATACATACACACCTGTCTCCTCTGCATAATCCCGAATCCTCGACCGCCCAATCGACGTAGAGTCCCGGCGCGTCTTCCCTTGGCCCGGCACCGAAACGTGGACTCTTCGGATCCGCGCTGACTTCCACCGCGTGGATTGTGAATTGGGTAGAACCAGAAATACAACTACAACGAAGATTTATCAAACACTTCTGCCTTCAAGATTATTATTAAAGAATCGAATTAGTCTTCAGGAATGAGAATGAATTTTATAATATCAAAATTGTAATTGCAAGATTTCTGTTATTTTTAAATTTATTTATTTATTTTTAAAGAATTACCTGTATATAGTATCATGTTTTTGTTTCTCTTGGTTCTCGGCCAGTTCTATGGCAGCTTGTAGGGCTCTGCTCTCCTCACGGAGGGTCAGAAGTTCAAGTTCCTCGCGGCCTAGTCTGTATTCCAGCTCAGCTTGTTGAATACGGACGTCGATATTGCTGAGACAAACGATTGTAATTCCCAATTAGAAGTTAATGAGTATAAAATATTATTTTCTATACTGGGAACCGAACTCGACCCGCCTTCATAACATTTACAAGAATTTTTCATATTCGATTTAATTCAAATCTGACAGAGAATGAATAGAAGGGATGCTGAATTGAAGTATTTCACTTACTCTGTGATGTCCAATCGCTCCAGCGCTAGTTTTAAGTTTTTAATCGCTAAACGCTTATTATCAGCGTCCCGGCGTAATCTCTGCAGCCTCTCTTCGGTCGCTTTTCTATCCGCCTCGGACAGAGGCGGGGCACCGTTGAGCAACGCTAGTCTATTGCTCAAAGTGTTACATAGCTGTCCCTTCAACCTACAACAGGAAACTCGCATAGATCGCTTCTCACAAGTTTAAGGCTAATGAGAAACAGTCGAAACCAAAATTACGTTTGAATGATATTCTCCTTGTCGCGTAGGGCGATTCGAAGGGCGTCTAACTCCTTGTAATGATCTCGATTTCGGTGACCGGCGGACGTGACTCCGCCGGAAATACTTCCACCCTTTTTTCTCCGCGGTGTCGTCGACAGGGACACTTCTATACTGGCCATCTTAAAAAATAATTCGTGTTCCCAAGTTTAATGTCTTGTGATTAAATTAAATTCAAGTTTAGGAATGTATGTAAAGAATATAGACGTATTAGCGTTATGTTCGCATCGTAAGAATGTATCCATTGCTTTATGGATTCAAATAATATAGGAGAGCTCAGGGAGAAAGTGCATGGGGTTTGAAACAGAACTCGACGGTCTCGGGCATTGCATGTATGAGTATCGGTATTGCACGCCGGGATGTTTCGACGATCTTTGAGAAAGTGTTGGTTTTCTCCCGCTGGCAGGGAAGGTCAATGCCGGCCTTGATTGTATATACGCCAGGAGGAGGAGGAGGAGGAGACCTCGCTCCTTGTCCCGCACGATAGGATTCGCTTACGGAAAATATGCATAACCGGATATCCTCTCAGGGGTCAAAAATTCTCATCTGTTATGAATATCTTCCTCCTCGGATTTATTTCATTCGATCAAATGCCTTTTGCTAATTATCTGCATTCTACTGCTACAATTTTGCATTTTTATGCTGTTTCATATGAATACGTAAAGAAGTTTAGTATTAATTAAATTAAACGCTTGCCAGTTTTTAGTTAATTGAAAAGTATTCTAGAAATTTTACGAGTTGTGTGAGCTCCCATTCTTTTCACGATTTTCTATATTTTTTATTGTTCTATATTCGCTATTGTTTGGCGGGCAAATATTTTTATAGCGTTTTGAACTCGTTAAGGACGAAAATCGTGGCTTAGGTATTGGCCGTTTCAGACAGTAAAAGGGCACTGACTCGCGAGGTCTACAATCTTCCTGACCAGATCTGTGTCCGAGTCCTTCGACCCAAAGGCGTATTGTCCAAGTCACCTCTCAGTACATTTTCAAGCAAATTAAAGAAAAGGCAGAAAATTCCTACATTCGTCGAATCGACAGTGAATT